AAATAAAATTTTTAAATCTTAATAAAATAGAGAGGGTGAGAGAGTAGCCACAGTAAAGCAACAGAGCAAAGCTACAGTTGTGCTGTCCCTCAGCAGCCTTCTGCCTTAAGTGGGAAGTCTCCAGCTTACAGACACTGACATAAAAGACACATTCACAACACATTCCAAAACAAGAGATGAGAGGTTTACAAGGCATATTGATTTTATGATGACTTTCATTCATTAGGTACACTGGGTTTAGATATATGCCTTTTGTGCAGCCAAGTTAACCCAGGGTCTAATTCAAAGAGACGTAATGAGGAAGATGTGCTGCCAGGGGAGAGAGCTGCAGTATCCCACTGCTCTTGTAACATCATAAAGAGAAGGAAAAGAAACGGCGCCATGGCTCACTAGGCTAATCCTCCGCCTTGCGGCACCGGCACACTGGGTTCTAGTCCTGGTCGGGGTGCCGGATTCTGTCCCAGTTGCCCCTCTTCCAGGCCAGCCCTCTGCTATGGCCCAGGAGTGCAGTGGAGGATGGCCCAAGTGCTTGGGCCCTGCACCCCATGGGAGACCAGGAGAAGCACCTGGCTCCTGCCTTTGGATCAGCATGGTGTGCCAGCCACGGTGGCCACTGGAGGGTGAAGCAACAGCAAAGGAAGACCTTTCTCTCTGTCTCTTTCTCACTGTCCACTCTGCCTGTTTAAAAGAAAAAAGAGAGAGAGAGAGAGAGAGAGAGAGAAGGAAAAGGGCTACTTATGTCCATGCTTATAAGGAGGACAGAAGCACAAACATTTCAGAAAGGGGGAGCAAATTACAAATATAGTAATTTTAGGAAAATAAAAGGAAGTAAATTTCAGAATATAATGTGGGGTAGAAACACACCATCAGCTCATCAATTCTCACAGGGATCCAGGAAAACTGCCCTGCCTACCCACAGACCAAATGTTTCAAAACACATTTTTTGATTAAATTCAGGAGATTACGGGACTCAGCACTCTGGGTGTTCAAATGCCAAATTAAGTTTTAGTTTCCACTACGGGCAGATGTAGCCAATCACTCAGATCATGAGAAAAACTTTTCCATAAGAAGGAACATGAAATATTCAGTCACACAGAATAACTGTGCTTAGTGCTCAAAGTGAACCCCAGGATAAGCACCCAGAAAACCTGTTAGGTCTTGGGGCCAGCACAGTGGTGTAGCATGTAAATATTTATTTATTTATTTAAAAGGCAGAGTTACAGAGAGGCAGAGGCACAGAGAGAGGTCTTTCATGCACTGATTCACTCCCCAAATGGCTGCAATGGCCAGAGCTGGATCTATCTGAAGCCAGGAGCCAGAAGCTTCTGTCAGATCTCCCATGCGGTGCAGAACCCAAGAACTTGGGCCATCTTCCACTGCTTTCCCAGGCCATGGCAGGAAGCTGGATCTCAAACAAGCACCCATACGGGATGCCAGCACTGTAGGTGGCAGCCTCACCTGCCATGCCACAGTGCCAGTCCTCAAAATAAACCTATTTTAAAAAGCATTTTAAATGAGGGATGGGAGAGTTTGTTTATCCAAAGCAAGGATAGCATAAGATAACTACTACACAGAAGAAGCTCCTGGCTCCTGGCTTTGGATCGGCACAGCTCTGACCACTGTAGCCAATTGGGGAGTGAACCAGCAGATGGAAGACTTCTCTCTCTCTGCCTCTCCTTCTCTCTGTGTATAACTCTGACTTGCAAGTAAAATAAATAAATATTTAAAAAAAAATAACTACTAGTACTCATTAACTTCAAAAATATAGAAATTTAATGAAACTCAAAATATAACCAAAATCATCATCTACTACACATTATAATCTTTATTTTGAGAGTTATATTAGAAAAAAATTAACCCCTCCCCCATTGAAGAAATGCACATGGGACTGATATAGTAAGTTAAGCAGACCCTGGCAGTGCCAGCACCCCACATGGGCACTGGTTCAAGACCTGGCTGCTCCATTTCCAATATAGCTCCCTACTAATTCACCTGGGAAAGCAGAGGATGATGGCCCAAGTGTTTGGGCCCCTGAAATCAAGTGTGAGAACCAGAAGAAGCTCCTAGCTCCTGGGTTCACCTGGCCCAGCCCAAGTCATTGTGGCCATTTGAGGAGTGAACCAAGGGATGGAAGACCTCTCTGTGTCTCTCTGTAAATCTGCCTTTCAAGTAAATAAAATGCATTAAAAAAACCCCTATATAATGTAGTATTTTGGTGATTCCCTCATACAAGGAAAGCTCAGATAAACTGTAGAGGAATCCTCCTGGCTTCATGCAATTCAGAAGGAGGATTGCTTCTGTCACCCTGTGGTAGACATCAATGAGAGTTATTAATGGGAAGATGAATGGACACATCAGACTGCTTCCTCACATGGCACCTTTTCTTAAAGACATCACTGCTGCATTACCAGATTATGTCTCTCATGTGAAATATGTCTCTCCTAAAAATTTTAAAGAACTTGCCAGAAACTTATTGCAGAGCAGGGAATGATGTGCCAAGGACAGTGAGTTAGCCTGAGTAGTCCAGGAATCCTGTTCTTGGCTGTTTTCAAGTTCGTATTAATGTACACACAACATAGTTGCTGAGAAAGTGTCTTACAGTTGTTTCCTGGGTGTGAAGCAGCTCTTCTCAGCAGAAACACATCACTGCTTGCCCACTCACAAGCACTGTGATAGGGAGTACATGGGAGAAAAGGTCAAAACACACTGGGTTTGAGAGGAAGAATGCTGTCACCCTAGCAACCTCTATCCAGGATTCCCTTTCTATTCTTACCTCCTAGGTAACCTTACTATGCTAAATGAGTTTCACAGATTAGTAATCTGGTGACAACAGGACTCTAACAGAGTCTATGAATCACTCAGTTAATCAAGTGAAAACTTCATTACACTGAAAGTTAGTCTATAGCAATAGTTTTCAGGGTCACATCTCTCTTTTTTTAAAAGATGTTTATTTGAGAGGTAGAATTACAGATAGTGAGATGGATAGACAGACAGAAAGGTCTTCCTTCTGCTGGTTCACTCCCCAGTTGGTCAAAATGGCCAGAAGAGCTGCACTGATCTAAAGCCAGGAGCCAGGAGCTTCTTCTGGGTCTCCCACATGGGTGCAGAGGCCCAAGCACTTGGGCCATCTTCTACTGCCTTCCCAGGCCATAGCAGAGAGCTGGATCAGAGGAGCAGCTGGGACTCGAACTGGTTCCTATATGGGATGCTGGCACCACAGGCAGAGGATTAACCTACTGAGCCACAGTGCCAGCCCAAAGCCACATCTTTTACCGTACTGTGTGGGCATCTCTGTGGGGGAGAGGGGCACATTTTCTCTTTGCTTCCTTACCCTCTTCACATTAACACCTTGTACAAAGGCTTCCACAGACCAGTCATTTTGAAAATCTATCACTAATATCCTCCCATGTTGAAAATGTCATGGGGTTAAACTCAGAACCCAGAATAAGAAAAGTAACTTGAAGCTGGTGTTGTGGCTGAGCGGGTAAAACCATATGGGTGCTGGTTCAAGACCTGGCTGCTCCACTTCTGATCCAGCTCTCTGCTATGGCCTGGGAAAGCAGTGGAAGATGGCCCAAGTGCTTGGTCCCCTGTACCTGTGTGGGAGACCTGGAAGAAGGTTCTGGCCTCTGGCTTCAGATCCATGCAGTTCTCGCCATTGTGACCATCTGGGGAGTGAACCAGCAGATGGGAGCTCTCTCTCTCTCTCTCTCTCTCTCTCTCTGTGTGTGTCTTTGCCTCTCTAACTCTGCCTTTAAAATAAATAAATAATTTTTTTTTAAAAGTAACTGGCCGGCACCGTGGCTCACTTGGTTAATCCTCTGCCTGCAGTGCCGGCATCCCATATGCACACCGGATTCTGTCCCATTTGCTCCTCTTCCAGTCCAGTTCTCTACTGTGGCCCAAGTGCTTCGGCCCCTGCACCTACGTGGGAGACCAGGAGGAAGCACCTGGCTCCTGGCTTCAGATCAACACAGCGCGCCAGCCATAGTGGCCATTTGGGGGGTGACCACCAGAAGGAAGACCTTCCTCTCTAACTCTGCCTGTCAAATTAAAAAAAAAAAAAGTAACTGGCCCCCTTAATTAAAACCATATGGACTGTAAGATAATCAGCTTGGTGGAGCATTGAGTGACTGTAAAGAACTAGACAAGAAAAACTGATACTTTTCTGTATTTATGTTTTCATAGCTCTCCACTATGAAAATCCAGATTGAAGTAGCTCATTATTAACTCACACGGTAGACTTGCATTAATTTCAGTTCACTTCTCACTTTGCAAAGGGATTAGCAGCAGGTAATAAAAGTTGACATCCCTAATAACATGAGAAGAAAGAAGGGTTGAAGACAGAAATTGAAACGCAGGAAAATAAATCAGTTACATTTCCATGGCCTCAAGCTCCAGATTGAAAAAGAGTCTGTTAATTAAACACGGAGGAGCGATCAATCCACAAAGCTACTGCACAAGCTTCACGTGCTGCTGGGAAAGTCAGGCAAACACATAGCGCCCCAGCTGAAAATGTGTCCGCGGGGTCCAGCATGGGGGCCAGGAGCCAGAGCCTACTCTGATCTTCCATCTCCACCTCTCCACTGCCTCAGGCTCCGGCTCAGGGCCACCGAGCCCTGCCCAGCTGGAACTACCAGGGGATATAGCCCGAGGCCAGCCACAAGGCATTCTCTGATCCACCCAAAGTGAGAACTGGGCTTATTTAAATCTAGGGAATAGGACTCCTTCCTTCAGTGTGCTCTCAACTGCCCTGCTGGTGCTGTTCCTCATCCAGTGTACTTTAAGGAGAATTTGAGCGAGGCAGCCCATGGGACCGGCCGTGCATCGGGAGACTGGGAAGCGGTGGTGGGAGACACAACACCTGGGCCCCAGACTTGACTCTGCCAGAGAAGCTCCCAGCATCACTGAGAAGCAAGTGATCGAGGTCTGGGAGCCGCCACCCGCCATCGCACCCTCCCCTCTCCCACACACATCTGTGCCCCTCCTGTTCTCCATACTTGCTGTGGAAAATCTCGGGAGCACGTCCCCTTCCTTCAGGACACACGGGGAGCAAAGCGGAGAGTGTGGGACAGGAGAAGTCGCTGGAACTTGGGGCCCACGGTGGCAGATGCAGAGGCACAGAAGCAGCGGGCGGTAGGTCTGGGGTGTGTGCTCCCGAACCGCCTGCAATTGCACTTGCACAGCAAGTCTCCCCAGTGAATGTGGGAGAAGGAGCAGCGCGGCCTCTCAGGGACCTCTCTGATCAGTAAAAGAACTTCTGTTCCCAGCCCCGAGCCACAGGGAAAGGCACGCATGCGCACGTTCTCCCACATGCACACGCACAGGCGTTCAGAGCAGGAAATGTTAGAGCACCGGGTGACTCTGGGAAATGGAGTCCAGGCCAGGGCATTCCTAGATAGACTTACTGGCCCTCTCCTAGGGCTTCAGTGCGGGGTGGGTGGAGACAGGCTGGGAACCAGAGAGCGTTTGCTTTTGTTTACATCCCTCCTTCCCTTCCTTCCCACCCCAGATCTCAAGGGTCAGATGCTGTTCTTCCTTTCTTGAACAAAATCTTAAGAAGTGACAGCCACTGCTGCTGAGTCCCAAATCCCGGTTCCCTCACACACGCTGTTTCCCTCAGGAAAATCCCCTGCTGCTTTATTCCTGGACAGCTTCTCTCAAGTAACCCATGACAAGGATTTCAATGTAACTCTCAGCACAGGTGTACACGGCACAGTTTAACATCTAGATTTGAGAATACAATTTTTACTTCTGTCTTTTATTTGTGGTTCTTTTCAAAGCATTTTACACCACCCTCTAATTCACCAAGTACAAAAAAAAAAAAAAAGGAAGAAAAAAAGAGAACTGGATACAGGACTAACATTGCCAAGTATCTTCTAGAGTCCAGATTAACAGAGTAAATGCCTTACTTTGTATCAATTATACCTTGGGTTAATTCTGGAGACCATATTCTCAATTTACAAAGAGAAAGCTGAGGTGGAAAGAGATTAGAATTGAATTTGCCCATGGAAGTATGGTAAAAAAAAAAAAAAAAAAGTCTAGCTTAAAGGCCAACCAACATGAAATATTGGTTTAAGAAGTCTTTCGGGACCAGCACTGTGGCATAGTGGGCTAAGCCTCCGCCTTCAGCACCGACATTCTATACAGGGGCTAGTTCAAGTCCCTGCTGCTCCGCTTCCAATACAGCTTTCTGCTGTAGCCTGGGAAAGAAGCAGAAGATGGCCCGAATGCCTGGGACCCTGCATCCACATCAGAGACCCAGAATTTCCTGGCTCCTGGCTTTGGATCAGCTTAACTATGGTATTGCAGCCATTTGGGGAGTGAACCAGTGCATGGAAGACTTCTCTCTCTCTCTCTCTCTCTCTCTCTCTCTCTCTCTCTCCCTCTGCCTCTCTGTAACTCTGCCTTTCAAATAAAAAAAATCTTCTTTTAAAAAAGAAATATTTCTTTTATCTTGGAGCTCAGTTTCTAAAACCCCAGATTTCTCATCTCTAAAATAAAAAGTGAGGGAGAGGAAGAGTATCTACAATCCTAATCTTCACTGTAGAGAAACACATAGGATTATAACTTATCTGAAAAAGGAGGTTCAAAATTGCTATTGCTGTATGGTTATTTTTCTCATGCTTAATATCAAGATAGCATATAAATATTATGCATTCTTAGGTATATTTGTGGTGTTTGATTTTTAAGATTTTAAGTAGAAATGTAAATGGAAGCAGGATGACATGGAGTTCTGTTTGTGATTACTTCTGTCAATTATAATTCATGGGATTAGAATTGCTGGATTAGGAATGCTTAAATGTATCCATTCATTTCACACTAATGTTTATTATGTCAGGTGATATTCTTTGTGTAGACTGCTTTTTCTTGCCAGATTGAAAATTCAGGAGGGCAAGAAACATGTTTGCTTTGACATTGAAACTCAGCATCTTGATAGAGTCATTCTTTTAGTTGAATGAATAAATGAGGCTATAAAAATTAAACAAATACAATTTCTGTTCCCCAATAACTACCTAGTTGAAGAGATAATGAAATAGATATCTATTTGATAACACACACAATTAGATGAATGTATAATTTGTTGCTCAGAGACAACTTTGATAATAAAAGAGACATATTAATAATGACACAGGGTTGAAATGCATAAACAGAAACCATCCAGGGCCAAGCAGGTTAAATGTTCACCCTAGCTTTGTAAGGCATTCCATTCATTATTTAGTAAGCATTTACTGAGCATTCTTTTGTGTGGTGTGTTGAAAGAACTACCAGCCACATGATTTTCCTAGTTATTGGAGTAAGAGAACCTGAGCAATCAGAAAAATGTTTGGATGAACTAAGAGGCTTTACACAAAGGTAAGAAAAACAAAAAGCAGAGAGGTCAATTAAAAAGTATATCAAAGGTAATTTAGTAGGACCTGAACCAAGGTATGCTGGTAGTGGGAATGAAGAAGAGGCAACAGATTACAGGGAGATCCAAAAGGCAGAAGCAATAGGATTTCAATGGTAGACGAAAGCAGGAGGGAACTCATGTGTAAATCTTCATTTGGATTTTATTATTTAATGGACAAGGAGTTCTCAGTACATTCATGTTCATCAGTAATAAAAGGCTACCTCCAACTGACTTATAAACGTCCCCTAAATCCAGCACACAATCTCATGGGTAGCTACTATCTATAAGCCTTATGTTGATCATCAAGCCAAATATTTTTAACTGCTACAATCTACAATGGTCCTCATTATGATGCAGTTACTTAGAAACTAGAAGACATAATCCATTTCTCTAAATAAAAAAGTAAAATTCAGGGGCTGGCGGTGTGGCACAGCAGTTTAACACCCAGGCCTGAAATGCTGGCATCCCATATGGGCCCCTGTTCAAGACCTGGCTGCTCCACTTTTAATCCAGCTCTCTGCTATGGCCTGGGAAAGCAGTAGAGGATACTTGGTCCCCTGCACCCACATGGGAGACCTGGAGGAAGCTCCTGGCTGCTGGCTTTGAATCAGCACACTTCTGGCCATTGTGGCCAATTGGAGAGTGAACCATCAGATAGAAGACCTTTCTCTCTCTCTCTCTCTCTCTCTGCCTCCCCTCTCTCTGTGTAACTCTGATTTTGAAATAAATAAGCAAATAAATATTTTTTAAAAAGAGTAGTAATGGTCAATATTTATAAAAAGGCCAGCGCCGTGGCTCAATAGGCTAATCCTCCAACTTGCGGCACCGGAACACCAGATTCTAGTCCCAGATGGGGCGCCGGATTCTGTCCCAGTTGCCCCTCTTCCAGGCCAGCTCTCTGCTGTGGCCAGGGAGTGCAGTGGAGAATGGCCCAAGTGCTTGGGCCCTGCACCCCACGGGAGACCAGGAGAAGCACCTGTCTCCTGCCTTCGGATCAGCGCGGTGCACCGGCCGCAGCACACCGGCCACAGCAGCCATTGGAGGGTTTAACCAATGGTAAAAGGAAGACCTTTCTCTCTATCTCCCTCTCTCACTGTCCACTCTGCCTGTCAAAAAAAAAATTTATAAAAAAAAGTTAAGTTAAAAAACCCCCAAACTCATATATTTCAAAGCTAAATTTGGAATACCTTGCTAATTCACAATTTATAGATTCATCAACCTTAGGTAACTAAAGCACAATTAAGCAGAAAAGAAGTAAAAAAAATTCCTTGGGGAGGGGCCAGCACTATGGCATTGTGGGTAAAGCTGCTACCTGCAGTGTGGCATCCCACATGGGCATTGGTTCAAGTCCTGGCTGCTCCACTTCTGATCCAGCTCTCTGCTATGGCCTGGGAAAGCAGTAGAAGATGGCCCAAGGCCTTGGGCCCCTGCACCCATGTGGGAGACCTGGAAGAGGCTCCTGGTCCCTGGCTTCAGATTGACACAGCTCCGACCATTGCAGCCATTGGGAATGAGCCAACGGATGGAGGACCTTTCCCTCTCTTTCTTCCTCTCCTTCTCTCTCTGTGTAACTATTTCAAATAAATAAATAAATCTTTAAAAAAATTTCCTGGAATAGCCAAAATGCACATTATAAAGTCCAAGTAAGGTGTCTAGCCACTGGCTCACCATCATGACTCATAAAAACTCACTGTCCTGGCTACTCTGATATGAGTGGATGGACACAAAGCAGAAAAGAAAGCAATAGGTTTGAGCAGTGAATAAATGGAAAGGGCTCCAACAACAATGCTGCAGAGCTCTGTGGCCCCTAACTGAATGGGATATGCAGGCAGGCATCTCCTTAATTTCTGCCATGCTCTCAGTTGTCATAGGACCATAGAGCTGAGCACAACAATCAGAGCTTTCAAGTCCAACATCCACAATTCACTTAGTGATAGTGGAGCCCTGTAGCTTCGCTTCATGAGTACAACTAAACCTCCACACTTGATATGTCATCCTGTTAGGATCCACTGGAACTGGAGAGCGTATGGGGTCAGAGGGAGTAGAGGAGCATGGTGTGTGAGTCTCGTGGTGGTGGTAGCTGTGCAGAGGGAGGGGTGGAGGAGGAGATGAGCAAGAGCCCCTAGCACTGTGGGAATGAGGAGCAGAGGAGGAAGGGAGACAGGGGTGACTTGTCTGCATTATGCCTGGTACTCTCCTGGGTATAATTGATGTAACATGGATAATGTGAATATCATGATTACCCTAAAGGCAATTTCAGTCCTGGTGGACAAATGACAAGGACATAGATAATTAAAAACAATGTGACAAAAGTTGTGGGTGCAGAATACAATCACCTACATCATTTGTGGATGCCATGCCCATCAGGCAGGAACCACCAGGTTAAGGTCAGATCTCAGGGCTGGCATTGTGGTGTAGAGGGTAAAGCTACCCCCAACAGTGCCAGCATCCCATATGGGCACTGGTTCAATTCCCAGCTGCTCCACTTCTGGTCCAGCTCTCTGCTGTGGACTAGGAAAGCAGATGGCACAAGCCCTTGGGCCCCTGCACTCTCATGGGAAGACCTGGAGGGATCTCCTGGCTCCTGGGTTCTAAGCGGTGCAGCTCTGGCTATTGCAGCCACCAACATTGAAGTGAACCAGTGTATGGAAGACCTCTTCTCTCTCTGCCTCTCCTTCTATCTCTGTGTAACTCTGACTTTCAAATAAATAAATAAATCTTTTTTTAAAAAAGAGTCAGATCTCAGAGGTAACACGAGCCCAGAAATGACACCATTGTATGAAATGAAAATAGGCAGATGGTAGGTAGAAGCTTGGTAACTAAAGCTGGGATCAGCACATGGATCTTGATGGCAGGCTGTCAACCATCATCACTTGGCTAGGCTGGGATCTCCCAACTTTATCCT